AATAAAACGTCTGATTAAATGTGAACTCACTTGATTTTTTCTGTAGCCATTTTTGAAGCATATTGTATCATAAAAGAAAAAAAATAATTGTGAGTGATCAAGTTGAATATATATTTTATGCATATAGTAACTCGCTTTGCCTCATAGACGTTGTATCGACAAAGGTAATTATTGGTGGTCGATGATGCGTGCAGTAGATAAAGAAGAAGAAGAAAATAAACGACGATTTATCAATGTGACTCTGATTCATAAGATTAATATCTTGCATTGAAAATATTCGTTAATGCTGTGATATTCGATCGGATCATATGTTTACTGCAGACTAACTAACTTTTTATTATCAGCCTTTTCGTGATACTCAAAGTTCACAAAAAGAAGATTTCTATTGCCACAGACCGACATACGCTTTCTTTTTTCATTTTATGTTTATCTCCATAATTATAGGTAATGCTCCTAATACAAACAGCTTTTTCGGAGATGCGAATATTTTTTTTACAAGCAATTTCTGAAGAAACTCATAAATACTTGATACTATAGACTAAAAAAATACCTGCTAAATCGAATAAGGCAACCATTAGTCAATTATCTGGAAAATTAACTATATGGTTAATGGTAGTTTTCGAGTAATGGAACTTATCCTTATTAGAAGAACTGTTCCTAATTCGAACAGCCAATGAAAAATATTTTTGATAAGAGGAGTGGACGGAAAACACACTGAAAGTAAAATAGTTTGTATAAATGAATTTTCTCTCTATCTAAACTTGAAAATTCCTTAGTGTTTTTGTCACACGAAATATTTCTTAACATATGCTTCACTAACTTACATCGGTTTAAAGCAAACAGAGTTTTTCCTTTTTATCAAAGATATCAATTCAAAACTATGGCATTACTATTCAATGATAAATTGTGATAATTTCATCATAATTTCATATCGATCAAAAATTTGAAAACAACAGCGTCACGTACATGTTTTTTTCTTTACAATTGCGCTGCTTTTATTATGAAAAAAACATTTTACGAAAGATTTTAATAAACTATCACGAACAACCGTATATTTGATGCAATATTGATGGAAGACGATAATTGCCAGTAAGAATCAAACAATATTGGATTTATTTAAGTAAAGGATTATAAAACAGAACAAGCTGTTACTGCTATTTGATTCATCTTGATTTATTTATATAAATATATATGCATGCAACAGGCAAAATTAAACCTGGCAAGTTTCATTTTTAATCAATGCAGGTGAAAAAATCAGACGAAAATCGTACGAAAAATCGTGATGTCTGCAAAACTTACATCAAGTCTTGGCATACGATTCTTTCGAGAGTATGATCTTGAAAGAATTGTATGCTAAGACTTAATGTAAGTTTTGCAGACATCACGACTTTTCATCTGATCTTACAGGATCATTAGAAATAAGAGAAACGACCATGTGTGATCTTAGCATGTGATTGTTTGACATGGAATATTTCAAAGAAAAAAGGAGATGAGACGAAGAGAACTATTCAATTCTTTGAAATCGACAGGAAAAAGCTTGAGAAAAAGGATCAACGCATGATTTTGTAAAGATAACAAAATCGAACATTTTTACAAAGTTTCGAAAAGACATTGTGAAAACAACCCCAATAACTATAGTATTGCATCGTAATAACTAAGTGTATCAAACATACGATATTTTCAGGATACTTTACTAAAATTTTTCGTAAGCTATTTTTATAATAAAAAGAGTACAAGTGTGAAACAAAGAAATGTCGGTTAAGCAGGAGTTTCTAAACTTTTGATTGATACAAAATTATGATTGAGTTATCACAGTTTCTCATTGAATAGCAATGCCATAATTTTGAATTGATGTAACTGATAGAAAAGAAAAACTATGTTGGTTTCAAACTACTGCAAGTTAATGGATCAGTCATGAAGGAAGGTTTTTAGTGACCGAAGCACAACGAAACTTCCAAGTTTAGGAAGGAATCAAGTTCATTTACTAAAATTATTCGATTTTATATGCATTTTCTTAGACATGTGAAAATTCCAATAGTTTTTGACTTGGTATAGGAATGTTACATTAATAAGAGTGTTAAAATAATGTTAATGCATATGTTACCTGTGACTGTATCTCTAAGAGCTCATATCCAAAAGTTTCTTATAATCGAATAAAGACTTGTTATACCCATTACGCTATCTCAAAAACGGAACCAAATAGTTTGGTTCTGAAAACTTCTGCGCTTGGCGTATACTAGATCTATTTATGGGTAATCAATATATTAGGATTAAAAATAATGGTAATTTAATACCAACAGTTCGGTATTAATTAATTCTAATGCAGATAATATCAAAGCATTAAGGTTAGTTGTAATACAAGTTCTTAAAACATTAGCATTAGTATTAACATATGTTAATGCTAATGCTAATACGGCATCGCTAATCAAAAACAAATACATACCGAACTATTTTGTAAATGTATGACAAACTCAAGAAAAAGGAATGTTTTTTTTTATTGTTCTCTTCTATTCTCAATAAAACAATCTGTATCATAAAAAACATTTCATATCTATTTAATAGGTTTAACTGTACTTTTATGAACATATTATCACTCAGTCCTTCTTTAATCAAAAAAAAGAAAAATAACATAAGAAAATTACATATTTAAGCGACACTTTTAACACAACAATGTTCAATGTTTATATTTGATATTACTATTTTTATCTTAGCTTATCTTAAATATTAATTTTGAAAACATAAAAAATTTAGTAAATTGTAAATAGAATTTTATTGACTAAGAGTGAGTATAGAACAAAGTAATTTTCAAATACTGTGAAAGAAAAAGCAACAAAATATGTACTCGAAATACTGAGACTTAATAAGTGTCATATTCATTTGAAAATATATTCTTCAAGACATGGTTCTCGATGTGGGGTAATATTGAGGTGAGCTGACGTCTCTTCCACTTGTTCAGCGTGTCTGCGAAAATTCTCTTACTATAGATCGATCAATAATTCTGCCCTACTAACTTTTCTGGTAAATTTGTCAGACAATGTAGATTACGTACCGCATATATGCATAGTATAGATTTTCTTCCTAATCTAGCAGACATTTGCGAATATTCTTTCGTTTCAGTACATAGTGTAGATTGTCTGTCAAATCTAGCAAGCATAATGCTTATTAAATCTTCTAAAATTACAGTGAAATTGTTGACATCAAAGCAAATTGTGCTTATCTTCATTGAATTTGATAGCAAGAAAAAACTCCTATGAATGTGAAAATGAGTGTAGTTGTCATTGACTATGAAATTCAGTTGCTTTTAAAAGACACCTACGTTGGAGCTAATGGACTTTTCCATATTCAACTCAAATAGTCGGGTTTAAAATCAAAAAATCAATTAAGATGGAATTAGTGGGCTTTTCAGGTTTAGAGCCAAGCATGATTCATGTTCATATTAGAAGATCTTTAAATATTTTTCAAAAACTTTTGCTAAAAACAGAATAGAAAGATGCATTTGATGAGCTCTAAAGGCGTGAGGAAGGGGTGTTGATTTACTTGAAATATTATGGATAGACCAAGACACATGGAAGTTTGTTTTTGATGAATTCTAGAAAGTCTCAAAATAATCTTGAAAATCTCGCTATTCTACAAAACTTTCGTTTCTTGTTCTTGCATTGATTATGTTTTTCACCGAGGACAACTTTCATATTTTACTCATTTTGGTGCAAATGATGTAAAAACATATGTAATGGTGAGATTAACCTGAATGTGATATGCGAAAAGAGTACCTATAGAAACCAAAGGTTTTTAGGTAACACTAGTTTCCCTTAGCATATAAACAGTTCAGTAGTACAAAGAAACTTTTATTGTTCAAGTTTTCTCCTCATTTATTGGTTTTACAGATATTCAAACTGGTGCTTGAACATACATCACTGAATATGAAGGTACCATCAGATATAAACATGAAGTCTGGATCCTTGATCTGTATATAATGTAAAAAACACGATTAAGTTCTTGACAACACCATTTTCATAGTTTCTAAATCGTGACTGACAAATTTTTCGTCAGAAAACTCATCGAGTTTCTCATAAATTTGCTTTTTCTAAAGTTACAAGCTACACATTTTGTTTTCATCTCCATTAAAAGCTTCTAAAAAGATATTTAAAGATATTCTGGTATGAAAATGAATCATAGTTGCTTCTAAAACTGAAAAGTTCACAAGTTCCATCTTAGTTTATTCTTCAATTGTAAACTCAACTATTTGACTTTAAAATTGAGAAGTCATCCGGTAACTTTTTAAGGACTATTGAATGTTCAAATCAGTTCCTACATATACATATAATTCAATTTGTTTTTCTTTGTGCATAATATATATATATTCCTGTCTGATTCTTGAGCGTTCATGAATGATGACTATCATAACAGTATTTATGAAACTAATTTATTCCGGCTGTGGTAAACGAATAACTAAAAAGAATTCGAAGACCACGCTCGCCAAAAACATAAGGTGTTTGAAGAAATTATTCAAACAAAATATGAACGATTACAACCATCATCATATTGTCTATCGGATAAAAAAATCTATAATAGGATTTAAGTAAACAATTTCGAAAAAGCTCTCTAAAGTAGGGAACTGAAATAAATGTTCACTTGTGGACAATGGTAAGAAATTACGCTGAGTTGAACATAAAAAATTTTGATAGAAATGAGTGTCTGCAAAGATTTGGGAACAATATCTGCCAGAAAGATGTTATCACCTCTCCTCTTCACTCTCAAAAATATATCGAGAGCCTTGGATACAGCAACATAAAACATCAAAATACAATACTAATACATTTATTTTTTAGAAAAATAGTTTTCTTCTCAATTGAATCAACATAAAACTCTGTTATTATGAAATTTCAAGCAGTTGTATATGCATTATAAATAAATAAAGAATAAAATGATATTTTATAATAGTTTGTGATTTGAATCATATTGTAATTGTTCAATAAAAGACTATAATAGTTTAATATATTTTAAGATGACAAAGATCTATTTCTTCCATATGAAGCCATTTCTTGAAGTGTCATATATTTTGATTCAAGTGCCATGCGCATTGCCTAAAATACAAATTATAAGTAGATATTTTTAGCATCTTTCTTTCTCTATTCTCTCTTTTGCTTACATAAGCTTGAGTAGTAGTATCATTTTTATATTTTTCTAAGTCAGTTTGATTATAGTGATTCATTTTAAAAGCAAATTTCGAAAAAGGTAAATCTGTATGCCAGCAATGTAAATTGAGACGTATACCTTGTTGAGCATATTGCACAGTGCTGTCTGTTGTTGATTGATCAAGAAGATTATCACCTATCATTAGTCGAATTTGATTTGTACCAACTAAATGATTTATAGCTAAGTGCTGACCATATAAAAGTAAAACACCATAATGCCTACAAAACAATAAGTATTTTAACTGACATGTTTGCAAAAAAAAAACATTTACCATTCAGGCCACATTAATGTTCCTAATTTAGACTCTCTTTCTGGCATAGCAAATTCATATTGTGCTAACCATAGCATGCCATATAATGTTTGATTAGCAACTAAATATCCATCATATGGTGAACCATACCTGTACATAAAGACAAGAATAATCCTTAAAAATTAGAAAAAAAATTTAGACAAACCAAGTAGAACCCATGCCAGAAATTTTAACATGTGCAAAACCCATATCCTTAGCAATACGTTCCAATTTACGTCGATTAAAATCTGTGCCATAACCACCATGACCAGTTATGAAACGGCAATTTTGTGGAATATATGTTGCAAAATGACGATAAATAAAAATATCTAAATAATATTATATGAGAAAATAATTCTATGAAATCTACAAAATATAAAGAGCCAGACAAGGGACAATATTAGAGGAAAATTGAATAGTAATGTTTAATAAAAAAAAAAAGATTTTCTTGAGAGTAGTTGAAGTTATACTTGATTTAACTGTTCATAGCTTTTCTTTGTTATTCATATGATAGAGTGGCTAGTTCTTTGACTCATATGTCATTGATGTACAGATCAAGAAATAAAGAGGCTTCATAGAGCCTCAACTGTTATACAATTTTAATATATAAATTTGATTAAACGATATCGAGAGAAACATTATTTTTGAATAAAATTCTCAATTATTTTCTTTTCTTTTTCATCTCACTTATTGCTCATTCCATTCCGTGCATCTTTAATCTCTCTCTATTGTGACATAGTTGAAAGAAAACTATTTACACAGTAATGAATGTAATTGATATGATGCATTGGTGATTATTCAATACTTATTTACTTCTATTTTACTATACGTCGGGTATATCTCAAGGTACTTAGTTAAAAATTGATAAAGTCGAGAACACAAGCAGCAGGCGATCTGTGGTTTTCAGCAATCGAAAGAGAATACATGAAGACATCTTTTTCTTTGATAATATATAGGACAAAATCATTTTGAAATCAATGATTTCCGAAAAACATTCAAAAAAATGTATGATAATGGTCTTTTATTCCGACGAAATTTTCATTTTGACATGTCTCTTAGATAGAGAAACTTGAGCTCTATAAGTTCAAGAAAAAACAATCAATGATCATCTTGTCATATGAACTCATCTTGTTATACAATGACAGAAAGGCACTCCTCGTCTAGTATCCTCATTTTCTTTTTGAGCTGAACAATATATTGATGATGTATAATTATTTAATATCATTGGACATACCAATACTTAACTTCTTACTAATATGCCCTGATTATACGATATCGAATAACTATGTCCATTCTTCACGAAGGCATATTACTGATGAGAAAGCATTATTTCAACTTTCACAATTTCAACGATGACATGAAATATTAAAACAGGTATTGACTCAAAAAAATTCATATTTGAATTGTTTATTTTTGAAGTAGATGTGTATATATCTTTTGCTTTGTAGAACTCAAATATTTTTTCGAAGAAAATAGTAAGTGTGAGTTTTAAGTAAGTTGAAGTTTTCTGGCTTATCCTCTCTTTATTATAGACTTTACCAGCCGAGAATAACTGACATCAAACTCCTTTAACAGAAGTCTACTATACTCCAAAGCCTTTGTTGAAAATTGAATGGTTGGAATAGTTTTGGGAATGTTGTAATTAGTGCAATAGTTGATTTTTGCACATATAAAAATTTATATTCAAGGTGTCAACGATGAGGGATAGTGACACAATGATTTGCAATATTAGACATATGATCAACATTAAAAGCCTGAGTTGATAGAGTTACAACTTTAAAAAATAATCAATATCAGTTTTTGTGGACTGATCGAGATATATAATAGTACGTTAGGACATGCTGCAGTAGATTTAATGAACTTTTATAACAGCCTTATTTTCCATCTAATTCAATGCCTATAATGATAATAATGTTAAATTAAGAAAAATTAGATGCAAGACTGAAAAAAACCGAGCGAATAGCAAAGAAGAAAACCAAAATTAGGGTGCCCGTAAAAAAATGTTCTGTTTGAAATGCAGAAATAAAAAAGAAAGATCCTTACTCTGGCAATTGATTGCCTTGAAAAATAAACTATAGTCTACGAGAAAATTTTTAATTAACGTATTTTGTATTAGTTTAATGAGACTCAAAGAATATGTAAGTTTCACATTTCAGCTCCAGAATGACTGCACTAACAAGCCTTTTGTTCTAAGGAATAAATACATATCTAAACTGTCGCATGAAGTAGAAAAACTTTTCACCTTTTCTGATAAGAGAAGATTCAGATGAACAGATCTAAAAGTTTGCCTTTGTTTTTTCAATTTTTACTAATGATGAAACATTTATAAGGGTTGGCTTTATACTTAAAACATCATTAAAAATATACGGTGAATACAATCTTCAATAAAGATTGCAAAGCAATCTATTGAAAATAATACTCAGAGCGTATTCTATACGTGTAATTCGATTTCCTTTTAGATAGTATTATTTCAAACGAAATCAGTTTCCATATCTGGTTCTCGGGCAAATGACGATTTTAAATAAAACCACATAATTTCCAATGAAATTTTGGATGTTTATCAATCTAACAGTCTTCATGATTTCTTTAAAGTTTTCATCGAAACAAATTGATTCTTCAACCAAAAATTAAACAGAAAATATTTTCACTAATATTTTTAGAGAATTTTAATGATCATAACATCTATAAATGAGCAAAGTATTAGATGAAATTCTATCGTTGATTACTTTTTTTGCAAACATTTTCTTCTATACTGAAAAATTAGTAAAATGATCATAAATCTTAAACACAATTTTATCAATTCAAATTCTCTTAAATTTTTTCTTCTAATAATATTCTTATCAAATACTGAAAATATCCTCGTAAACAATATCGATCAATTTTAGTCATTTTTTGTTAGACTAATTTTCACAATCATTACGATAAAATTATAAACAATTTCTGTCTACATTGATATATATCTTTTTTTGTTCATATAAGATTTGATCTTAATATTGTAGAATGTTTACTAAG